CCAATGTCTCACACGTGTCTCACAGGAGTGAGTTGCACTGAGCCACTTGTACTGCTTTATAATTTAATTGTTTATTTCTTATGTTATATATCTATCTGTATAAATATATATAAAATTATTAGCATTCTAGTTTTGTTTCTCTAGAGAACCCTTTCTAACACATTATTCTTTAACTTAAAAAGAGACTAATAGATAGGATTGTCTTTTTCCACACATCCCTATCTCTCCACAATCTACCTAAGTTCACACTTAATCCATGACTTTGCATCTCCAAGCAGGTTATCCTACCTAGAAGAAAGTCAGTCATCATTTTTATTTACATCAAACAATAAAAAAACAGTCATTTTGAATTAGGTATTAAAGGTTATCCTTGAGTGAGTGAGTGAGTGAGTGAGTGAGTGAGTGAGTGAGTGAGTGAGTGAATCAATGAGTGAGTGAGTGAAAAATAAACTAATAAAGGTTATCCTTAATACTCAATATTTTTTGACTCAGCATCCCTTATATTAATATAGTTTTCTGAAATAAATGATGAAATTATTGGTTATTTTAATTTTTGTTTTTATGTGTCATAAAGTGGACTCCATATGCACAACAGCATGAAACACTACACCATCCTGGGCCATCCTCACAAGAGATCCGGTGCCTGAGCCCACTGGTGCAGCCACCGTGGCACTGCATCGTGTCAAGGGCTTCCTCTTTTACACCATCCTTCCTCTTCATCAAACACGATGTCCTTCTCCAGGGACTGGTCTCTCCTCACAAGATGTCTGAAGTATGTAAGATGAAGTCTTGCCACCCTTGTCTCTGGGGAGCACTGTCGTCCTATTTCTCACTGTATATATGTTACTGTGTCTGTTTGCATGTGTAAAATAAACAACGAACACAAAAGAAACCTACTGTTATCAACTGTATTCTGACTCATTGTAACCCTACAGGATTGAGTCGAACTACACCAGAGTCTTTCGGAAGCAGAGTCCTTCGTTGTTCTCCTATGGAGATATTGGTGGCATCAAATCATTGACCTTTCTTTTAGCTGCTAAAACCTTTTTACCCCTGTGCCACTGAGGTGCCTTTGCAAATTCTGGATGACATTTACATCCTACAAATACAATCATGTACTCAATCACATTTTCCACCTTCATGAATCCTGTTGTCCAGAGGTAATTATAGAAAGGTTCTGTATCTACTGTGCCTTGCTATTTTATTGTTCTCGACATTAAGTGGTTATTTGACTGCTAGGTTTGCTCTGTGTTTGAAATACTGGGTAGAAGCAGCTCATAGTAAATGGAAAGGATAAGGTACTTGATTTTCCCTAAAGGCTTAGCGAAACCAAAATCCTCTTGATTGCTGGCTTATGGGACCCATAATGACAGAGTCTTCAATTGGGTTAAGAACTCTAAGATCACAGCTTCTGGACCTTAAGTCCCTGATCCCCAGAAGGTTTAAGCACCTTGTCTTCGAGATACATGCTTTTCTTGGGCCAGTTCAATTGGCTGATAATGAAGGGCATAGCCTTTATTTCAAGCGTATTTTCTCTTAGTTTATCTTCAGATTTAACTCCCCTAGCACTTGCTCAGGCCACATTGCACTCCCTCTGATATTATACACTCTGCTGACAAATATGATGGAGATTTCCAGTAGCAAGTAAAAGAAGTCGTATACAATAAGTGGCTATTTTACTCATAAACTGTATCATTGTTAAGACCTATCCTAATATCACATTATCAAATTATAGTTCTCTAGGACAGGAAACCTACAGTGCATATGTTTTATTCAAAGTCCATATAAACCACCTCCAACAACAAATAAATAACAATGAAATGGTTTTAAAGCTTTCTTATTTAGAACGCAGTATGTAAATTCTTATCTGCTGAACAAAAAAGTAGGCCACTTTCTAGGTTAAGATGAAAATAAAAATAAAAAGAGTCTC